GGGTTGAAACGTGAGTGTCCAATGTATCGGACGCCATGGTGAAAAACACACTGAGTGCAGCCATAAAATACATCGGAGAGCTAGACAGCAGGGAACCCAAAAGCCTACACAATAGTAATGCAGCGACAACCTCCCTGGCATTCTGTTTTGGGATTCACCGATCCGGGCTGCAGCATCCATCTAATGCTCTCATTTGGAGCTTGAACAGAAAAAAGGTCACGAGCAGTGAGCACAAAAAAGAAGAGGAAAGCACATCGCAGAGCGCCACACCGAATGAGTTTATATGGAGAGTATCCCGCAAGTCTTAGCTCCTTTACCAGAGTAATTATACTCCTGCGAAGTCTCGAACGAGGAACCGATTGAAGATCCGACGCAGGAGATATGAGCTGGCTTCGGCCCAAATAGAAGACAAAGTGCCCGCGCTTGTAATTGGGTTCGAACACGCGGCAGGTCCGGCTATTTCTATTATAAATGTAAAACGCAAGAGTCGCCCGAAATTTGAGTGCGGTGAAGCACAATCCCACTCATTACATTGCCGACTGACCACTGCCCATTGTACGCTTACACAGGAGGTACGGACGCTACGCATTCAGCAACGGGAAACAACCAAACCCAACGTGCAATTGAAATATTTTGGCGGTTGCTCTTCAAATGCCACACGAGAGAGTGTAGATTGAAATTCAAGTGTAATGGGTCAATGAAAAAAAAGTCCATTAAGACTAAATTGGCGGCTTCACGCTGGGCTGCGACAAGGGGCAACCCACGCCAAACACAGACATCAATTGCCACCGATGTTCAGAGATCAAGATTTCAAGCCCAGGATGGTGGGATTGTAACAAGCTCACAATCAAGCACACCCGGCACTCTCCATGAACATCAACGTCACATCTTAACCCAGCAGGTCAAGTGAATTATATCACAAAAGCACCACATGCACATGATTACTTTTCGTTTTGACACCACGTGGAAAAATATACTTAAGCGACGTGTAATTGTCATCATGTTTGTTTCACTTATCTATCACGGCATCCCTTCCCACTAGTAACCTCATTACTGAGCAGTAAAAACAAATCATGTGTATATGTTTTTTTTATGATTACCCATTCATGCGAATTGAGTAAACTACCCTGAGCAGTTGATATATTGTGTATATAAATTCAGTCCTGCACACAAACTCTTTGCGAGATAGTGTACCATGTACATATTTTGCCAATCTGATGCCATCATTTTCACCGCATTAGCTTACATTATTAAAATGAAAAATGTGTGCGTTCAAATTAGTGTTTACTGATAAACACGTTTCGTTAAATTTTCAAATGAAATTGTTAAAAACAAATAAATACATTATGAATTTGATTACATAAACCGTGGAAGTTATGAATATGTAATACATTTAAATCCAAAACCATGAAAATACAATGTAAAATCTGACATTGGGGGTAAAAATCCAATAAGTCCAAGAATTAACACAACACTCATTCCTACTCTATCAATAATATGTTATCAATTACCTATTACACACACAAATCGAAAGCATGAAGGCACCTCCACATAATTCCAGAGGTGGAATTTGAAGCCATTCACAAGGCTTCTCCCAATATTCTAGACTGATAGGCGGCAGGCAACAGCGTTCGTCAAGGTTGACAGTATATTTCCTAAGAGCTCCCGACGGCAAGCCAAAGGCCTGCAGGGCAAGGCCCCTTGGCTGAATTTTTAAAAAAGTCCATTCCCGCGGCCCTACAAAGACCTTTGCCGAAACAACACACCCTTATAATCACGGTCCACACACTATCATGTCTGTGATTAACACCGACATTGACAAATACGGCCTCTTTTCTGTGACATTTCTCTCATTGAATGGTTCACGGCACAACCCATGCACCTTAACCCCCCCACACAGCTTTAACCCTTCATCCTTGGTACTCTGAGGCACGAGAAGAACACCTCAAATTAGCACGGTCGGCTACGTACGGCGCAAAATGAGTTTAGCATACGTACATACGAGGGAAAGGTAAGTGGAGCACAACGAGATGGGATTAATGAACCTGCTGTGTGAGAGTGTCCCAATAGCCATCCTACAAATGACATGTTGTGGAATTTCTGAACACTTAAAAATGTAAATGCAGCAAAATTTCCGAATGTTTTTTTTCTCCCGTAAATGTTCTATACATATATTCATTCTACACCCTGCATATGGTCACCCGTTGTTTAAAGAAAGGTTAACAGCAAAATACAATGTTGCAAGGGATTCAATAACTTTGAATCTGCTGTCAATTAAATTGGCTACGATCTTGACCCCAAGAGAAGTAACAAAGCCTTAAGGACCAAACATAAACAATGTCTGCATCATAGAAAGCAGTGCAAAAAATAATGTTAGGTCATTAGCTCATTAGCCTCTGGACAAATGTGACATCGCCATTCACAATTAGCCTCCAATGCCATGCGGATATTTTGAACTTCACACATCTGAATTTTGATTTAAAGCTTTCGTGACCGCAGGGATTCATATTCTTGGTTCTTTCGGTAAAGTCACGTAGAAGGGAAACAATAAAATAATAAAAAATATGAAACAATGTTTGGTCATTAGCTCATTAGCCTCTGGACAAATGTGACATCGCCACTCACAATTAGCCTGTACAAAAGGCATGACAAACAAAAGACAGCTACACAAGTCTGAAACATAAAGATACAAAAAATAAACCACAGTTGGCCAAATCGCTCAGGGGTCAGATCACTGAGCCAGCACAGCTGACATCCTGGGTTCGACTCTGTGACGAAATCAACATTCAGAAGTTGTAGCGAGTTGATGGCCCAGTCACCAAATGACTGCAATAAAGCAACCTTATTAACTTCGGCTGTGAACGACACACTTCACTCACCGAACACGACCTACCGATCGACAAACAGAAGATAAAAAAGATATGAAACACCCAGGACAAACAGCACATAAATTATAACAAGTACCGCTATAGAGCTTTATCTAGAAACACTGACTGCCTTGTGTCATCACGACATCAGCATCACGTATAATCAATTTGTGCTACCGGTCAATATTAGCGATGCTAAGAACGCAATAAGAAATCATGTTTCAGAGCATTAACCTATTCCATGTCTTCTCCAAAGCAGCCTTCTCCTATTCGTTTTAGATGCCTCTGCATCAATTCACAAGCAATGTCAGACAACAACTGGCAAGTTGGAGGAAGATTCCTGAGCTTAGTGGCAGCTGAACAAATCATCCGAAATTGTATCTGGGTGGTCAAACATGTTAATCGGTGCAGGCACAGGAGTAAATACTGGGCGCTGGGGAGATAAAATATTTGAGATAAATCATTCCCCGCACGTCAGGCTGCTCGTGCAGGCACTGTGGTCCCAAAAGCAGGCCCAATGAGCCCCTTAAAATGTCAAGTCCTGGGACACCTGTTATGTTAATCCCTCGTCTTCGGGAAGCCTCCCATAGGTGCAATGAATTGTAAATGAACTTGAGGGTTCTAATTGGAGTCAGTGTCTTATTCCACTTAATGTTTAAACATGCATAAGGAGCGGTTGTCACGAAATAGTGTTCAAATAGATGTTTGCTCGTAACCACCAAATTTACCCACCACATCACATTCGTAACATAGACAATTTAAAAATAATTAAACTGTGAGACTCATAAGCACCATTAAATGGTTACATTTAAAATGTATTAAAGTGTCACATTCCCTGCACATATTAGGTGCATTCCCATAATGTATGCAGGTGGCGTCACCGTGTTAGATTGTAAACATTTATTTAGCATTTCACAATATTTTATAGAAATTAATATTTGTTTCCTATGCTGAGGCGGACTATGACATCACGTGATAGTGAAAGGTGGCTGAGGCCTGGGGAAGGTCTTCATCCAGCAGTGGACTGACCATGGCTGGTGATGATTATAAACAAACAAGGCTTCAATAAACAAAAGCACCAAATAAATATATTTATTTTTAAAATGTTATTTTTGTCGTTGTTGACCACATTAGTGTGCCACTGTTAATTGTGCAATTTACTCACAATAAGATAAGAAAGAATTGAAAATGATCACCACCCAGGAAATGTGTGTATTAATCCTAGAATGGATGGACGCCTTGAGATAAAAATATGACAGGTACAGTATTAACAACATCCAAACTTCTATTTCCGTATCCGAGAAATCCACAACAGTACAATCCCAAACGTACACGCAAATAAATGACAACATTAATGATGCCCTACTTAACCATCATCCAGCAGCGGATGGCCATGGCTGATACGGAGATGTCCTTTGCAAAATAATTCAAATCCAATTGGGCTCTTGCCTCTTTTGGCTATACACAAGGCAACTACTGAACCAAATAATTGATCACACTCTCCCAAGCCGTTACCATCCCTCGTGTTACCAAAGCTCATGGTGTCATCTCTCACGATACTACGGTGGAACAGTCCACGCAGCGCCTGCAGGCGAGCCGATTTCACCTTTGCAACATCTCTGCAGCGGACATCCTCTTGGGGTGCAATCAATTTACACCACACACGTAAATATATAAAAATAAAAACTTTTATGTTGCTGAGCAAAGGTCCAAAGGCCCAGACACCAAGCAAGCAAGCAAGCTGGCAACAAACCACAGGGCCGAAGGTGTACTGGCTGAGAGCTAATAACACGTCGCACGCACGAGGCAAAGTTGTACGAGGAGCTTGAGACGAGAGACGATGGAAGGGAATTCCAAAGTCGAGCGGTACGGAGAATGACTGATAAGTGCTTTGGCCTACAGCGTGGCGGTTGAACGCAGTACGGATAACAATTTAACATGAAATACAGCATACACAGGTATGCGTGCGTGCATAGGTGCGTGCATGTGTGCGTAGGAGTGTGCGTGCGTAGGTGCGTGCGTGCGTAGGTGCATGCACCTATGCGTGCGTGCATAGGTGCATGCATGCCTGTACGTTCGTTCCCCTCCGGTGAGATGTTTGTGGGTGCCCGAGGATGCAGCCAAAGTTGGTACCTGCCAGTGGATGATGATGCTCCAGATGAGGCCGAGCGTCAGCTTGTGGTTGCCGTCCACAATGTCGGCGCCTCCAATGTTCACGAGCTCCACCTAGAGAGCGCGACGGACAGGCGGAGGGGTCGAGCGGTGTGGGTGCGCAGGGTCGGCGGGGTGGGGTGAATGCTCAGCGCTTGATTGTGATCCATAAACATGAAAATCGATGGCGACGGAGGCCCAAAGCGGACACTGCGTGGAGCAGCACGGCGTAAAATAAACCCCGGCTCCACCACGCCCGTGTTCCTTCGTGACTCATCAACCTGCGCAAGGTGATGACGCGGGGAACGTGCGGGCGGTGCCGGGGATGGTGCCGTGGCGGCAGCAGCTTTCCGGCTCGATGCGATCTCCCGGCACGGCAGCCGAAACGATGGTGCGAGTTTCTTCAATCTTCCGCGCCGGTGTCCACCCAGCGGGATGCACGACAGGTCGTGTCCGGTGGGGCAAAGTGTAGGTAGTCCCACCTATTCCGAGATGTCTGACCAGCAGCGTATATGAGGAGGCTAAATAGCCTTCAGACAGGCTTTCTAGACTAATTGCAGGACCCCCCCCCCCTTTAAAGTTAACGTAAGAAGAAGAAGAAGAAGAAACTGCACTGCAACGAGTAGGACGGCAACGGCGCGCCGCGAATTCCGTTACGTCCGCACTTCCGTTTTCGGCTCCGTGCGTTCGTGCGGACACACCACACACACTAAAATAAAGACGTGGCACGCAATATACCGACGGCCGTACGGCGCGCGGCGGAAACGTACAAACAAAAAAAAGGGGGGGGGGGGAGGACAGAGGGCGCGGAGAGGAGCGGGGGGGGGGGGGGGGCCTAAATGCGCGAGCTTTTACAAAAAAAGCACAGGGACCCCACGTGGAATTCCCGTTTCGCGCGAAGTAAAGCATTACCGTCGGCGGAGCGCAGAGGGAAACGCCGCGGAGCTCGCGGCTCACGGGAGGCGCGCCGATAGCGCGGTGAATAACGAGGGGGTTCACACTCATCGAGAAGCCGTAAATTATTATGAGCGCAATGGGCCTCGGAACAGCGGCCATTCCATCACGTACGACACTTGCAAACAAGGGGGATGAGGGCAACGAGCGGGTTGGGGGTGGCGTGGGGGGGGGGGTTTGCAAGGGAAGCACGTGCATGGGTGGGGGCATGGGTGGGAATGGACTCGCTAGTCAGGCCCTTGTAAGAAAAACAATTAATTTCTGCAGAAAATTCCAAGTGCTAATGAATGGGCCAGAACCAAAAGCAAGGCAGCTTTGTTTAAAACTGGAACGTATAAATCTGTTTGCAAAGGTGTGTCTGGCGTGCGTTCCACTTCGAACGATCGGTGCAGGTGTTCATTGGGAAGGTGACGTCATTATTTCAATCACAGCGAGGGACCACCGAATAATGATTAAGTCAATAAATGCACATTGATGCACTTCTGAAAAGGTGCTTATTAGGAGGTGTAATTAATTTATCAATAATAGATTAAAGTTGTAAGTCTGCTCGAATGCTCCCCTCTGCGTAACATTGCCCCAGAAGTTGTATTGACTTGAAATGAAATTCCATAACATGCCGAAATGACATGCATGCGTGGGCATCGCAACATTTCTCAAAACGGAGGACGCATGTATAATTGGGTTTGAAATTCCACAATTGCCCGTGAGGCTGGAGGCCCTGCGCATCACGTGCTGAAGTTTGCGCTCGTTTCACGAGTCGTGCCGGCGAGCGTTCGGATCGACCATCGTCTTGTTTTGCTTGCTGTAGATGTCACACAGCACCGGCGGGGAAAGCCATGAATCAACGCTTGCGGCGAGCAACTGAAACGAGGCGTCAGGAGGACTGCCTTGAGGGTGAACTGGCTCTCTGGACTCCGTCTGGAGCCAGCAGCGACCGTGTGCCCGTTAGGTTTCCGAAAGCATTTCAGACAATCTGACGTCGATAACATTTCCAGACGACACCTGTGCCGACAAATAACGTCGCAAAAATGAATCATTAATTCCTGAGAAATAAAAAAATGAGCTTTAGAAGGCTGAAACAATACAAAAATAAATTACAACCTGTTATTCCCCTCCCCCCCATCTCTTTCCGTTTCACACGACTACGGCTCTTGCACAATTTAGAGCGTATTCATTTTCCATGCCGTTGCCGTCCCTCCGTCTCCGCTCCCCGTGACGACTGAGAGATCAATGTCTGTAGACGCGGAGCAGAGCGTGAATCAATCACACTCCTATCGGGCTACTCCACCACGCAAGGGTGGACAGCGTGTGGTGGGGGCGGCTGAAGCAACAGGCCACAGACGGATTCATTCCACGGGGGCTTATTTATTTTAATTAATTAATTGCTGCCCACCACTTTACTGCTGGCCCGAGCCTCCACCTCACTTCCGCCAGCCAGACCCCGTAAAAACTCGGGTTGCCACCTCTATGAGGTACAATAAACTGGGACGCGTCGTGGAAAAAAAAAGGATCGCACAAAATTACAAGCGGGAAGAACCCGTGTATATTCGTAGTCTTGAGCGGCGTATTACTACGCAACTGACAAAAAATACCAGGACATTTAACGTTCCGGAGAAAACTAACAAATTTCCCAGCACAGCAGCCACTTTGACGAGAGGACAATCCCATGACAGGTGGTCACCCGAGGTAAAACGTGAAAGCATTAATATGCTTCGCTTCCCTCCAAAAACATAGCAGCAGTGTAAGGACGGGGCACTTAAAATCAGATCTGAACAAGACTCAGGAGGAGAGCAAACCTACTGGGAATGCATGCTGTATGCCAAAGAGGTGGCGGCGCTGGTTGTAAAGAGCCAGTTGAGCCATGCCACACTAACGAGCTATGCCTACGGGATGCACAACAGGAGAGCACAACTAACCTTTTTCTCACCAAGTTTGACAAAGCCCACCAGCAGGTGAGAGGGATTAAGCATTTAATTGAGAACTGCTGGGTTTGTATTTCTCCCTCTTCACCGGATTATGACATAGTGCCAGATCACTGAAGCTGGATTAAGGTAGTTTAGTTCTGTTTTTTTTACCATAGAGCATGTAGACCCATGCTAAATGTTAATATTTGTTTGAGGACAAAAAGCAAACAACTGAAATAACTAAGCTCTAAAAGAACGCCGATCATCACACTGGCTCCAAACAGGATTTTTATACCACTGTCAAAAGTCCGCTATACTGGTAATGAGTAGGTCTAATTTAACTGCACTCAAAATTACACATTCGTTTATATTGTGTGGCCATATTAAAGGTTCAACTGGGACCCACCATAGAACCGTGGAATTTCCACCTCTGACTGTGTGCACTCAAAAAGAGATGACTACTACTACCCTGCACGCGATTGTATGGGAAAAACCACTTAAAAAATTTAGTTTTTCTGTAAAAAAAAAAAAAAATGCTGGGTGTCCATTAATGTATCATCCATTATTAAAGATTTATAGACAGCAGTTTCCACCGCACAATTGAAATTCTAGAAACATATTCCTTATACACTGTACTTGGGATTGGTTTCTTTTCGTTACCAAATGGCTCGAGTGATCTTCAATAGCACGTAACAGAAACATTCGTCGCAATCACAACCGGCTATGTTGGTGAACACCTGGGACCCACACCTCGGAGTAATGTCTGTTGCCAAGACCCAGGCAGACACATCGAGGTTTCGAGGGGATGGGGCTCATGATAAAAGCTTCACATCACCCGGGGTGTATAAGTATGTGTGTGTGTGCACGTGTAGCTTTATCAATCGATCTAAAACTGCGGTCCAATTATAAATATTTAATAATGGACTATACCTAAATGAACAAGCAGGATATTTAAATTCCAACAGCCTCTTACAAGAACACAGATGTGTATAAGGGTGACTTAGTTGTTCGGGGGTCAAAGTGCTGAGTTGCCACTGCTCAGAATCAGAATCTCAGATTCCGATTTCCAATGAGGGTAACTGGCCATGATTAAAACCAGGTTTACGAGTGTAGCAGAGTTAATGGTCTCATTCTGAAAGCCAAAGACTGAAAAATAAAATTATTGCAAATTTGGTTTCGCATTTAATTCGACTCGATTCCAGTTCCGTAGAAACTTGATGCATTGATTGCTTTCTTGCACAATTAGACTTGTCATATAGCATATTGATGTTCTTTTTTTCTGGATGACTACGAATGGGATGCATGCTGTGAGATCGGTTGTTAAAAGCAGCTCCATATAAAAGGAACGTTTCATCAATGACAGCTCCTCACACTCAGGACAATCGGGAATATTTTCCTGTTGTGTGGATCGATTAGGGCAATTTATAATAATCCGCACCTTGTTTTTACATGTGAGAAGACATTAATGGACTCAGCCCGGTGACCAATGACTGCACAAAAAAACCCAACATTTAAAATTCTGTTCTGCATTTATTGTGCCTAAATTCCAGCACTGAGAATTAAAAAAGATATTGGGCTTGACTGCCATGCAATGAACACGACTCCCAGTGGCAGAGTAGCTGGCAAAGTGGTGCCCCAGTACTCCGTCGAACAGAGGTCTCCGAGATAGTTCTGCGATATCCACTTCCACAAGCCGTTCTCTAGAACAGAGCTTCGCTGCTGTGCAATGGAACCGATTGATGATTTATCTAATGACACGTTGCATACATCACAATCCATCGGCCATCTTCGGACTCACATATAAGCCATGGATAGAAGACAATCGTCCACAACTGCAAGGGATCGCCACAGAAGACATCACAATTCTAACACATCGAGAACAGTTCTCCAAAAAGGTGGATGACGCCTGAGTAATGGCCACGACAACGATGGTGATGATGATGATGATACTGGACTTACGTTGTTTTTCTGCAGCACCTGCAGAGCGCGGTTGACATTATTCAGGGCATGTACCCGCGATGTCCCACGTTCCTTGGACTGCAAAAAAAGAAAAAGAAAACATAGATTAGGAAGGGGATGGAGGACCCCCAGAACAAAGAGCAAGTTATGATCGCTTTTCATAAGAAAGGATTCATGACACTTGAACCCGTTAATTAATTTACATCATACAGAACTCGTGGGGTCAGTAACTAATTTTTATTGCAGACTTTGGTTAATTGCCATTGCGTTGCTGACTTACACATATCAATTTGAATTTCATTGCATGCATAATCAATTCCAAAGGGCAGCACAGTAACCCGCGAGCACGATGACGGTCAGCTCCCGGTGAGTTACCACGTTGCCAATGCTGCGCACCTTCAGCAAAAAAATGTGATTCTACGAAGTAAATGTAACGTCCCAGGGAGGCAAAATTTTAAGCTCATTAATATGCTTTAAAGAATAAAGTGCTCTTAAGTTTTGCAGAGACTGCCTATGGTCAAGAGTATAAGGCAACATTTTGTTTTTAAAAGCACAGCAAGACACCATTGATAATGCCTTGAAGGTTTGCAGAGTGGCACGGCCAAGTTGAAAAGAGTTTCAGACGTTGCATCCTAGCCTGCTGAGAGTTTACATTCGTAATCAAAACAGTGGATGAAACCATTCATCTCAGCACATGCCACTTGCTGATTATGATTATAAGCAGTTAAAAAAAAGTAATTAGAAAATGTAATGTTTAAAAAAAACAAAATCTCAATTTTTAATTAGAAAATGTCATTTAAAAAATCTGCTTTGAAAAAAAATCTTCCAAAACCAGATCTTTCACTCGCCGATATGAACATGACACCAAAGGAACCCCCACATTAAATGGCTTTATAGATGTGCCATGAGCGGAGCCTCGTGTGATCATGCCCCAGCATAAACATATAGTTGCATTCAGTCATCCGTCACCGCCTTGCAGTTGTCGAAAATTAAAATCGGAAGGACGCTAAAACTGCGCCCGCAGGGTAACGACGGTGCCTCGGCGCCTTTTGTGGTGCGATTGCGTTACACGCAGAGAGGCTGAGAGGCACATAACGCCGTCACGGCTCGCAAATCTCGTTCTGGAGCGTGCCGCAAACGCCTCATACGGACAGGCGAGCGGGTGCGCGCGCGTACATTAAAGGCGGCAAATGCGTGCACGCCGGTATACCCACACCGCGAGCCTGCAGTCACGCATAACCAAACAGAGTTGAAGTACACCGACACCTGTCCGTACATTTAGAGGCGCACTAAACTGTCGTGGTGGATGTGGGGGGGTGCTGCTGCGGCGTAACGGTTGGCGCGACTGGACTTGCGATCCAGAGATCGTCAGTTAGATCTTCCAGTGGGGAATTGTGAACAATCCCGAACTGCCACCACCACCACCGTACCGCTTTGTGGCAGCTGCTGCTATTATCGTCATCGTCACGTGTAGCAGTAGCGTAGTGGCAGGCGTGATGCTCTACGAACCCGGCGACCTGATTTAACTCCCGGCTAATAGATGTTTCACAAGGAGCACTTGCCCCAGCAGTCTGCTAAAGGCTACACAGGGGATGTTTGTCTTCATATTTACGTCGCTGAGACTGTGTTTAAGCTTGCCCTTGCGAGTATCTTAGAATGTTACTACAATATCTGCCGCTGTACGCTTCTGGGACGCTGCAGCAATGGGGCTCACGATAAGATCACCAATTGTAATGTAAAATTGATTGCTTTTCTTCTGAAAAATTCTAAGGAGAGCTATTCAGCGAGGAAATCACACGAACATGGGATGCAGAATCTTAACCGAGACTCCACCACACAGCCTGAACTCTAATTATCGTCAATAGGGACAGCCCATGCTTGCTTTTTAAGAGTCAGGTGCAAAGAGAAGAGGTTAATTGAATGATTGATAGAACCAAGAGGAGCCCTGTCAACAACGAGGCCAGCATAATGCATACAATGATGAAACCGCCTCCATCTATCCCACAAACCAAACATATGCCAGTTGCCGTGCGAGTCCCTACGTGCAACACCATGTGTATCTACGAACGCAATATGTGCATTCTAGGATTATTTCGCAGTCGTTTCACATTGATATACATGTTTTGTAAAACAATCGGAGACATCGGTCAGACGGACGTAAGCTGAAAAACACAGTAAAATATTCGTACCTAGGACAGCTCCGTGGAACCGTACCGGAATCAAAATGACGAACTTAAGAGGCTGACGAGAGAATAGGTTGTATGGATTGCTGTTGGAAAGCTTAACCTGACAACGTGGTGTGCATGAAAAATAATGTTTGTCAATCGGTGCGCACTACCCGCTGCGACATGCGGTTCGGAGACGTGGATCACTAACGCAAAATCTAGATCAGAAAATGAAGCATTCACCAAGACGCATGTGCTCGGAATTACACTTAAGGAGGCAGAAAGAGGAACGCGCGGATTAGAGAACGCAAGCAGGTCAACGACAAAGGTCAAAGACAAAGGTCAACGAAAAGTTAAAAGGGGCTTTGGCTGGACACGTTGCTGAAAGGGTTGACGGTCGACATTGGAGATGAACGACCGAGCCCGCCGCTGTCGTCGAATCAAACGCGGCCAAGTGGCGGCCCGGCGCAGAGACGGGAGCGATGAGATCGGCTCTCGCGCAGGCGCTTGGCGAAATTTGTTACGTCGCAGAACCGTGAGAGACGACAACGGCCCTTAAGTGAGGCCTTAATGCAGCGGCGGATTGATCATGACCGATGACGATGATTTGGTAAATGATTTCTTATCTTCACGATGTCATTCATTGGCATGTAATAACGATGAAGGAGTTTGATATCGGCGCGAAGGTTTTGGTTATGATGTTGGCTTGTTCTAACAGGTCAAAGTTGGCGAAGGTATTTGCATTTCAATCTGTCAATTAGATTTTAATTGCAAATTAGTTACAATGCAAGCCATAACGGATGTCAGCCTGCCAGTGATGGTCATTGGAATCATCCATGCCGAACAAATTCAACAATAATCAAGAAACGTGTAATTTAGTCAGGCACTAATTCATTTTGCACAATTTAAAGGCAAAAACACTTGTGTTAGTACTTTACGATAATGAGGAAATGGGATTCTGCAAGCAAAATCAACTCGAATGACGAATACATTGAGTTTACAATGGTAATTATTTTTCGCAATTCACATTTCACACCTGTGTTGTTGAAATCTAGGCCCGAACATTTTTTTGCAAGTTTTCTGTCTCTTTATGTTAAAGTTTTTAGTTTTATTAATACTATATGGCAGATAAAATATGAAGGTGAAGGCGCAGCCCTGCAATTGCCTCCACCAGAGGGCGCTCTAGAGAGCCCTTCTAGAGGGTATTTGGCCTACTCTTCCACACTGGAAGAAGACGTTACCAACACTTTACCCCACCACACGCGACCTGCTGGCCAACTTTACTGTGATGTGACCATTTATACTGCTGGGTTTACAGACGCGGGGGGGGTTAGGTAAAGATTTAAGAAACCTGCACCGTTGCTTAAACTGCCGCGCCGGGAGGTTGAATCTAATCGGCGACCTCTGGATGGCAAGTCCAGTGTGTGAACCACTGTGGCAGCATTGCGATGATTTTGATATATTTTATATACAATAATACTGTACGGCCTCTTATTGATCCTGCTTGATGATGACCTCACCACACCACCATGTCAGTCACGGGAGTTGTTTAGTGCATCTGCTGGTCATCTCAATCAGTCAAACCCATGGCACCTGGGTCTCTTCCGTGACCTCCTGCCAGCGAGCGTTCGATACTTCACGTGGCCTTAAAGTACACATAGCCTGGCGCAAGCGCCGTGGTGACATCTCTGCCACTTAGTGGCAAGTGGTAGTAGTTGTTGACAATACTTCCCCAACGCTGGTGAGTGCTGACGGGTGAAGGCAGCCCCAGGACTGGTTAAGATATCATTGGAGTACCCGGCGATTTTTCACCGGATGGCCAGGATTTCAACATAGGTCGTTAGGGTCAACACCACAATGTGGCTCCACTCCCTTCTCCCCCCACAGATGTTCTCAGAATACATTTATCCGTTTTAACGATCGTCACAAATCAACGAGGGCTTGGTCGACTGCTCGCATTGCATGCGGATCGCAAAGTTCCAAACGGAGGGGTGATTATCACACGGGAATCGGTGCGTCGAACTAGCCCATTGGGTTTGTGCTTTGAGACTAAAGAGTGCTTTGTTATTCCCGAGGAGACGTTCTCTCACATGTTCACAGTGTACCGAATGGCCACACAACGGGCGTCGGTGTTTCGTATCGAGCTGCAATCGTCTGCCTTTCAGCCCGGATGATGAGTAGAGTTCTCTTGCAAGCTTCAATGACGAGAGCTTCCCCCGGAGCAGCGGTGCGCCAGATAATAGAATCCGCACAATTGGCAATTTAACCACGACGGCGCTACAAAACGGCAAGAGTTGCTGAGGAAAGAAAGCATTATTTCACCACGGACACTCACCAACTTCTGGCCCAAAATGATTTCCAGCAACTCGAGCAGCCTCCGGCCATCGCGCAGGGAGGTGAACAGGTCCTCTATGGGCGTCTTGCCAGCCTGCAAACAACAACAACAAAACACACGCACACAGACGCACCGGGGGAGGCTCAAAACGCCGCACAAAAAAAAAACGGCAATTTTTGTTAAGTGCGCGCCAGTGCCCGTAGAGCTCGGCTTTCTGGTACGCATCCACAATCCCCCCCCCCCCCTTCCCCGCCTGGCTCACCCCGGCTAGAAATAAAGCATGCCGAGTCCACAGCGCACGAGACGGAATGCCGCCGAGTGGACCTGTGCCGCTGTGCTGACTGAGAGTGAAAATGACGCAGCACAGACTCGAGCGGTGGCAAAAACTCAAGTCAGGCGTGGTGCGTGTATTACAGAAGCACGTGGTGCGTGTATTACAAAAGCACGTGGTGCGTGCTCCGATAATAAAATAAGAGGAGCACGGGGATCTGGGCCACCGCGCACAATCGTCCGGTGGGTTTTGGTTTTTTTGACCGAGGGGATGCCACGGGGTGACGAAGAGTTAACATGAAGGGTCGCTATCCATTGCGGCCTCTTCGACGTTGAGTTTTGTAAGAGTGCGCGATCGCTTTATTCAAAGGGGCGAAACAATGAAGGATCTCCTAGGAAGCAAGCACGCATGAACAAACAGCATGAAGATCTCCCGTATAGTCTTCATTAGACTGTTGGGGTGAGTGCTATTCTCTCGGATGCAATACCATTCCTTGCCTGCCAACTCCTTAATTATTCTTTACCATCTTCGGTCGTCATCCCTTCAAGAAACGTGTCCTGCCCAAGGCCACTCACTTTTTTCAACAGTTCTCTAATCCACGTGTTCATCTTTTCGTTCCTTTGAGAATCATTGCCTGGAGAAAATACTCCAAAATATTTTATCAACATGCTTTGCATTTATCAACGTTCCATTTAGAGCAATTTTTTTACGTAATAAATGTGCCAAAACAAAACATGCATATGCATTTACAATAATTAATTTTGCTTTACTAATATGATGGCTTTCGAAGGGATTATGTTCAATAGGATAACTTGGTCTGAAAGAAAATACATGAATGGAAGGTGGAGGAATGACTTCCGCAAGGCACGCGTGGAGTTTCCCTGCGACAACTCCAATAAGCTGTCCAATTCATCAACCCACTAGGAAAAAAAAAGTACAGAACATGGCTATTATTCCCCACTAACTATGCTTTTGTGACCAGGACACAAAAGCTAAATTAATAATCCACTCCATTAATAACACTGTGTAACAAATATATAATTTTTTTGTTCCTGGGTACCAAGTGTTATTTCCTAATTGCTTATGCCTCAAAAGTACAGAAAATGGCTATTATTCCCCACCAACTTTGCTTTTATGACCAGGACAGTGACATTTTTTAATTTATCTATTTTCAATGAGAAAACGTGGTGTTCATTTGTGTCATTCCTTCACATAAAGTCCTGGTCACAAAAGCAAAGTGTGTGGAGAAAATAGCTACTTTCTATACTTTTTAGGCATAAGCAATTTAAAAATAACACTTACTACCCACGGACAAAAATCGTGTTACATAGTGTAATGTATCAATTTTATTATGACGATTAGACCCAGCAAGGTTAAACGTTAATACTTAATCCCGTTGACGTCTGCTGGAATATGTCACATTAATTAATTTAAAGCCATGGCAATAGTTTGTGCTGTAATTGCTCATATCAGCAGCAAACTCATCACCACCACCAACATAATCATTATCATCAAGTTCCCAAAAAACATTTCTGCATTCTTCAACACAATCAATTCTATCACAATACCTTTATACTGTCATTCATCACTGTCTCAAGAACCACTCAAGCACGGTTCAATATCACGATCACAAGTAACTCTTCAACCACCACAGCCATCGGTGTCACCGCATCCACAAACACAGGACTGTCTAGCTATAGCAATGGTTGCCAGTGGTAACAGACAAGTGATATGTTTTAAGACGTGCTTTTTGTAGGCTAGAGACCTTGTTACAGCCAATAGAACACTCGAGAAGATTTCAGCATCACTGCGATCACCGCATCGCTTTGTCCAAAAATACCCTACCTGCGGCTCGGATTAACTCTTTGGACATCAAACTGCACATCAGACGCAACACTCACTACGCCAAGTTGTGGATAAGGTGGCTCCCGAACTTGCGTTGTGCTCAAGGGCAATGCCATCTGTTACTAGAAAAATAAGTTAAGTGCATTCACTGTTAGTCGAAGCCAAATGACTGCAACAAAGACGACGACGATGATAACGATTACGGTGTCCTATGGATGAACGGTAACGTTTAACAGTACGACGCAAAGTGTTTACGTGTGGTCGAGATATTTGGGGAAATGCAGTGGAGTGAATTTAAGAGATGTCTCCGTTCAATTCGTCCTGCAATGAAATTTACGTTCCTCGTAAATTAAACCTTAGGGCAACGTTGTCGTCCAAAAAGATACCAGGATGCTACCCGCGGCTCACTGCCGCAATGAAACGTTGGCGCCATCCGTTCGTGAGGTTTTATTTATATTTTATGATGCAGAATCGACCGGCGTCCGTTGAACGGTTAAATCGGGGACCGCGGCGCGTACACGTACACATATCGAAACGCTGCAAGCCATTGCAGAGGCACGTCACGTATGGCAGGTCAGTCGCTGCCTTGTCATGTAATAACGCCCAGGCGTGCTGCATAATGAGATGGATTATGTTTGGATCAGACATTTGCTTCAATATACCCGCAAAGCACCTATAAGCTTACAAAGCCCCGGTAATTAACATCTTGCACTAAGACACTGATTAACTGCATTTTAGGCGATCCTCCGCGCCGGTGTGCCTAATTGGATTCATCCATCGTATTTTCCTGCCTCTGTAGCGCTCACCGCCCACGGTTTTTGAATTGCCGCGACGCGCGAGGGCCACCTCGATGGAGGCGGTGGCTGAAGGCTTCCGCCGCCACGGTTTCGCAGGGAGCTCGGCGATAGACAGCTCAGTGGGGGGGGGGGGGGGGGCAGTCCCTCGAGGCCCAGATCAGCATCGCTAAACGGTCCGGCGTTGCTGAACGGCCCCCTACGTGAGGTCTACCGAGGAAGCGAACCCATGATTTGACTCCGGGTTCTCGAGGCTCCGGCCCCGTCATTGATTGGCTGAGGCTCATGGTGAAATCTGTCAACAACCTATGCCTTATCCAAGGGACCTTTTTTTTTGCCAGTATCCAAAATTCTGAAAAGTTAAAATGGGTTTTACCGTTTTCTGGAAGAAAAAAAACAGGTGTTAAGATGTTCAAACACCATTTGGATACCTTTTGCATTAAATCACACAAACTCGTGGCAAAATATGCAAACATACATTGTCTGATAATATATACATCGGCTTTGAAACTGATTGGCCTACACCAGAGACAGCCTTCTTCATGGCCTTGTCTCACCAGTGTCAGACCGGAGAACGCCAAAAGGCGAACAGCACAAAGACAATGCAGGTATCAGAACACTTCTAGCTCAGGTCGAGCAGTTGTTGCCCAAAATGCCACATCTCAGATACAAAAACCCAGCACATATCAAGGAGGGAGGGAGGAAGAAGAATAAACCGGCAGGGAGAACCTCATGTTAGTGCGTTGTCTTGACGGTCTGTTAATACGCAACTGAAAAAGGCCAGGACTTTTAATGTCCCGGGGAGATTTGGAGATTTCTCAGGGCAGCTGCCTCAAAAGAGTGAAAAATGTTTGGTGAAAACGGCACAGGTAGCACTTATACTCCGCGCTCGCACAAGCAACGAAACTCGCATTTAAAGTTCCACAACATCACAGGTGGCTCTCACTGATGTATTACTTTCGTTTTAAAGCTTCTCCACTTGCCAGGGGACACTACCACTGGAAGAGCTGAGTGGGCACGAATCGACACATGCATGCAAAAAGGGGCATGCACCAGAAAAATAAGTGAACCCATCCGTGGCCACGATTCGGGAGAATCGAAACAGCCGCTTTAGAGAATGCGAAACTCATCCGAAGAGAATGCCAAGCCAAAGGAAGTCAATTACAAGACATACATTCCAGTAAACAAATACATGAAAAACCATGCGTGTGTTTTTTTAATCATCTTTAAATGCAACCTAATTTTGTTTGTAAATATAATCACTTTTTCCCAAGCTGGCCTCAACACATGGTCCCTTTTTATGTTTTGAGCTATAATTTACACGTCTTAAAAGTCAAAAAACGTTTTCTTTTGCAATAAATTTTAAAGAATTTTGTGCGTTAAATTGTACATCCAATTATAGGTGATTTACCAACACCTTTTACCCTGAATTTAATTACTTGAATTAATTTAAACCCATACAGCACAAATAACACATTATATAATGGAAATGTGCACATAAGATGCCCTGAATGCACTTCCATACAGGATATACATGTACGCTACTTTCGTGGTTGTTACAGATTGGTGTTCTTTTTCATATAAAGTGATTTTACAATACAACAATCGCAATTTTATCACGCCGATAAAATATTAATAGCCTCATAATCCTGGAAGACGGTCTTAATTTATCTAAAAAAAACTCATTCTTACCTCTCTTCATTAGTTAAAAGTTCAATTAAATGTGTTATTTATGTGCACTTAACTGTGGTGCATGAGGTTAGTATGTGCATATATATACACTTCTATATGGTGGTGGCAGTCACTAACACACAGTACCATGAACCTGAGTACCTACCTTTAAATTCGAGCCACAGCGAATATAAGCGACGAGATGTTAACTACCTCGCCAGGTATACAGGAGGTCGTGGGTTCGATGCAGACCCAGATGCCTGTACATTTGGAGCTTACATTTCAATTGAATTTGCTTCTCTTGGACAAAACGCACGACTATAAATTTCTGAAACTGTATAATGAGCAATGTTTTTGAACAGTGCATACGACCAAGTTACTGGGAACACACCCGCCATCGTATTATCTCCGAAGTTAAGCAGGTTTGAGCCTGTATCGTGCTCAGGTGGGTGAACACAATGCATAACAGGATGCTATAGGCCACGGGGCAACTTGATGGGCAGTAGGAAAAG